GCACTCGGATCCATCACATCTGGATTTATACTTCCGTCTGCTGCTAGGTATCGCTCAGGCTTAAATAGTTCGGGCTCGGGGTAGTCATCCGGATTATGCAGGATATGCCTACGGAATAGTTTTAGATAAGTATAACAAGGTACTTGCAACCTTACCACGAGTTCTAATTCAGACGGTATATCAATATCAATATTCACGCAAGGCGACAGGTGTGCTGGGATAACATGAAATGACGTACCCCAATCACAATTGAGCCCTTTGGAATGTAATATCCACGATATTCATCACTCGCCGACGTATAATGCGGGATAGCTAAGTGGTCAACATGTCGGTCAGATTGTGGTCAGTGCAACGAAGGATTATTTTACCAAGAGGTACCACAGGCATCCACCTGAGTGTTTCCCTCAGAATCGCCTCGATGATGGGAAGGTTATCCTTGTCGTTTAGCGTCGGGAGTCTATCTCTGCCGACAACTGCGTCTAGTTCTGCTTGAGCCTTCCTTTGAACCTCGAGGTTTGTTAACATAGCGAAGAGGAATATTTGCAGAGTAGGAGCGCTCTGAAAAATGAGGGATATTTATTGGTATTCAAGAGACTTAATGTGTCAAATTTAAAGTGAGCTTAGCACTTACAGTATTAACACCAGCTGCGCATGAAATTGAAATGAGTTTATCGAGGTACCGAAAGAGTAATGATAACAATCACCTGCGAAGGCTGTTCCTACACTATCGTTGATTATGCGCTCTTGTTCAGGCTGAAGGTCGTCTGAGATATCTTCCAGAATAGTCGCTACTACAGAAGGTCTTGCAGATCCTGCGGTCTGTAGATTGGTGAACAATGAGATAACGAAATGGAAGCTCTATATTTCACTTACGTAGGCTGACTTTGTTTCGTAAAAAGGTCCGTCGCGAGCCTTAAACATGTGCAGCCGCCAGTCCGCAGCCAATCTCTGGAAGTTGGCTCCCGGAAACCAATCAGGAACATATTTTACTATATTAGAGTCAGTTCCACAGTGTCTTTGTAGCGGTGAGGGACGTACAGAGCGGCAAAAAATCGACCCAGAAACGGCCAGGTTCGATTGCTTCATTGAAACCTTCTACCGATTTTTCAGCTTCCGCGACGTGTATGTTTGTGATATCTGCGATTGGAATGCCATAAATAGTGTCCATTAGTATAGCAGAGAAGAGGCTATAATTGATATCGATCTTAAGCCCTTGAGAGCAAGAGACTGACACGGAAACTCACAAATGAGCATGTTCGGAGGACTTTTCGGGTTGTCGGTGTAACTGCCTCAAAAACTCTCGTACATGGTCAAATTGCTGATTATCGTATGCCCGAATTGCGTTTGCACCAAGGTATTGATGGAAGACTTTCCGTTTCTTTCGCCATTCCTCGTTGTAATCCATAATCGTGAACGACCATCCGATTTCCATCCTAAGACAATCAATAGCTTTAGCATTGTGGTGTATCAAGAAGAACTCACAGGTCGGTCATCATAACAGACTGGTATCTATCAGAGTATATCGCTGCTCGTTTCTCGAATAGATCTGCAGCTACTTCCGACGAAGAAACGACAATTATATGCTGGTTGATTGCTTTGAGATGCATGATGTCTCCTTTGCGGTATTCAGTATAATTCAATAGAATGATTTGTACTAATACGCACCGTATTTCCGTGACATAGCCGCGAAAGCTGTCCAAGAAGACTCCCTGGGCATATCGAAAAGGTTACCCACTATAGGAAGAGGGGACGGTCCCGGAGGCAAAGGGAGACGTTTATGATTATCATCACCCTTCCTAAGAACGACAACTGTGAAAGCAATACCAATGACGAATGAAATCAAAACGGAGATGAGAATAGTTGGCATCTGAGCGAGATGATCAGGTCAATACAGTATACCAACTCGGAATCTGCAAGACTACTTATATACATGTCACCGAGCGGATTAACGCCTCACGGGCAATAGTGGGGTTTTAACGGAACCACCAATCTGGTACGGGATCCCCTGTGATTGCTCCGAATAGACTCTTGGAGTGGTTCAACTTGAAATGCAAAAGATTGGGCGAAGTGCCAATCAGTTGTTCCCACAGTGGAAAGGGCGTAATGCACATTGCAAAGATGTAAGCATAGAACATAAGAAATAACCACCAGGGCGTAACCATGAATGATATGGATTCTACATCATCAAGTAATGAGTTCCTCAGCCCCTGGGCGCAACACTATTGAACAAGGGAACGCCTTCGGTTGACTAGAAAATTTGGTGAATCATGGCATCTTTGAGCTTATTAAAAGTGATGTTACACTCACGGAACAAAATTATCGTGCATGCGAAGTTCTGTTGTAAGGGACTCCCCATTAGGGCCCTTTGCAGGCTTGATGTCGAAGAGATGCAACGTGCAGGCTATGGCAAGGAATAATGTATTTTCCGCTAGGTACTTCCCTGGACAAATTCTTGAGAATAGGGTTAGTAGTTCAATAACATAAATGAAATGATAATTCGGAGTTTACCTTCGACCAAAACCAAAGCATGCCACACCAGGGTCTTGGATATCTAAGTTCAAACTCCCGTCTGATGACAAATATCTTTCTGGCTTGAATCGTTCGGGCTCAGGATATTGGTCTGGATCGTGTAAAATCTGCCTTGAGGGAGCCTCAGACCGACATATTACAATGATATTCAAAACAGAAATACACACCACACACTCTAATTCACCGGGTGAGACTAAATATATATATTTGATGGCAGAAAAGGAGCGGACTTACCCCAATGACAACGGAGCCTTTCGGGATGTGATACCCACGATATATATCATCGGTTGACGTATAATGAGGAACACCTGAATCTCCCAGTCAAGTTAGTAGTATTTCATTGGTAGCTGCCAGACGATCGTACCGAGAGGTGCGACTGGTATCCATCTGAGTGTTTCCTTAAGGATGGCTTGAACAAAGGGAAGGTTATCTCTGTCGTTTAATGTTGGAAGTCTTTCTGCGCCGACAACTATATCGAGTTCGGCTTGAGCTTTCTTCTGGACATCGGGATGAGACATCATTGCAAAGAAGAATAGTTGTAAAGTAGGAGCACTCTGCTGAATTATTCAGTCTTTGGGTTATTTGATGTCGAAAGGTTTGCTTACAGTATCAACACCGGCTGCGCGATTGGGTTAACGGGATAAGTCAATAGTTATGGGGCAACGACTCACCTACGAATGCTGTACCTACGCTGTCCCTTATAGTAAGTTCTTTTTCGAGCCGCTGCGGATCTTCTAAAATATCGTCTAAGGCGGTTGTAACTACTGAAGAACTCGTAGAACCATTGTTCTTCACACCTGAGTTAGATAGACGCAGTAACAAAAGTATAAAGGCGTACATAGTGTGCTGATTTGGCTTCGGAAAAAGGACCATCACGGGAATTGTGCATACTTTGCCGCCAGTCAGCAACCAATCGCTTGAAATGAGCTCCGGGAAACCATTGAGGGACATATTTCACTGTAACGTACAGGAAAGTAGAGTAAATCACACAGATCATCCACGAAGATAAAGGACTTACAGAATGGCATAAAATCAACCCAGAAACGGCCTGGTTCCAGAGCTTGGTTGATGCTCTGGCCCCATGCTTCGGCTTCTTGAACATGTTTGTTCGTGACATCTGTAATCTGGATACCATAGATGATATCCATCATTATCGCAGCAAGTAGGCTATGACTCTATTATTGTATCAACGCATGGGATTGGACAATATAGAGTACTTACAGATGAGCATGTTCGAAAAACTGGTCAGGTTCGAGACGCAATCGTCTTAAGAACTCTCGAACTTGGTTAGATTGCTTGTGGTCGTACTTCCGGACTGCATGAGACCCTAGGTATTGGTGAAAGACTTTTCTATTCTTTCTCCATTTTTCGCCGTAGTTCAAAAATGGAAATGACCATCCTACTTGAATTCTGGGGTAATGTAATTAGCACTAAGACGATGTGATTAGAACAATGAACTCACAAATCTGTCAACATGACAGACTGATACCTATCGGAGTAGATTGTTGCACGCTTTTCGAACAAGTCTGTGGCTGCCTCAAGTGAAGAAACAACGATGATACTCTGGTTTAGTGCCTTAAGATGGATGACATCACCTGATAATATATTAGCATGGTTGTCATTGTAACGGCGGTGTATGCTACCCACCATACTTTCGCGACAATGCCGCAAAAGTGAGCCAAGGTGAGGTGCGGGGCAGATCAAATAGGTTTCCTACCACAGGAAGTGGAGGGGGACCGGGAGGTAAGGGATGACCTTTGGAATTAACATTGCGCTTTCGGATAAGTACTATCGCGAGAGAGGCGAGGAAAATGAAAACTGAAGAAAGAGAATATGACATATTGGTAGAGGTAAGAGAGTAGTCTGCATGGGTGAGAGCCTCTCGAGAGCCTCCAATAGATGCCTTACACATGTACAGCGTCAGCAGCAATCTAGAAGCACTGGCACGCTTGACAAGTTACATAAGAGAGATTGACCAGATATGTTCTTCTACTTGTCATGATTGGAACCGCGGATGAACGTTATGTGACACGTCAGTCAGATGCCCCAGACAGAACTTTAGCGGTGCAGATACACCAAAGAAGAATACGAGCGTGCTTTAGACATGAGACTGATACAAGCGTTCCATGAGATTTAGCAACTTTATATGTTGGTTTTAGTCTATAACACTGAATGCCTAACTTGAAGCTATATAGCATACGGCATAGAATAAGACTAAGAATGAAGAAATGTGAATCAGTAAGGGTCCACTTACATGTTGTATCATGAAGCGATTTGGAAAGGTGTTCTCAGATTATACTGGAGGTTTAGCTATCATGGGTAGGATGAACTTGAAAGGGAACGACTCGGAAGTTGCAGCAATTACTAATTAATATTACTAGTAATAATATTTGACAATTACTAAATTAAAGCTGTAGTGGACTAAATCTGGATCAATCTAATCCTAATATTATATAAGGGCGACGTTTGAAGGCGCTATAGCCAAGTGGTTAAGGCGATAGATTAGAATTACACAGGCAAAGTACTGCCAGTAGATTCATCTATTCCCCTCTGGGGTCGCAGGTTCGAATCCTGCTGGCGTCGTTGAGATTTTTTTTCTTTTTATCACAACACAGCTCAGAGTTCTCTAATGCTCAACATCGTGCCTCCATTCATTACAGTAAGTATAATAATATATTGATATTCAAAAGCAGTACTCAAGCCTTGCTTCTGACAGAAAACATATCATGAGACATCCACGTCTAAAGATGCAGATGTCGTTGGTGTGGACTCCTTCTCCAAAATCATATTAGCGATCTCTGTTTCTGACTCCCTGTCTCTTTCCCTTTCCTTTTCCTTATCTCTCTCCTTGTCTTTCTCACTCACTGCCTTTCCGCGCCCTCTTCCACGTCCCCTACCTCTACCTCTACCTCGTGCTCGAGGGGCGGGCGTCGCTTCATCTCCGTCGTCATCCCCGTCATCCTTGCTAGCCGTAGAGGCGGCTGCACCACGACCCCTACCCCTCCCTCGTCCCCGTCTTCCTCCTCGTGCTCTGCGACCCGACGTTGCGCCCCGCGCACGTGAAGGTGGTGCGGATACTGGCTCGTCTTGGTCAACGTCATTTTCGCTCTCGAAAAATTCATTTCTAGCAATCGACCGATCTTCTCGTCGTTCTCCTGCGAGTGCAGTACCTTTATCCTCGTCCTTCTCCTCACGTGTCCGTTGCTCGTCGGCTAACCACCCTCCCAAATCAGGCGGAATTTCCTGCATTTGTATACTGGGTGCACCCTGCAAGTACCGAAGTTTGGTACGAATGGCGATACTGATTCGTTGCAATGACGCAGCAGTATTCAAATTGTCTACCTTTCCTGTAAGTGGGGGGTGCAGTTTCCAGTGAGAGTCACGAAAGAATGAATCGTAGATTGTGGATGGGAGTTCATCGGGAACGGCAGCACCAACTAGCACAGAGGTCTCGTATGTCCAGCATCTGCTGACATTCTTTATTGTGTAACCACCTCCGCCAAGAACCAAGAGAGGAACGTTGTACTTTCGAACGAAGTTGACACATTCTCCATGGGCTGCGATAGAAAGGTTGAAGGCTCCCAGTCGATCACACCCCAGCGAATCTGCTCCACATTGCAGCACGATAGCCGACGGTCGATATGCGGTGACAGTATCATCTATCACAGTTTTGAAGAGAGTCAAGTACATGTCGTCATCGATTCCGTCTTGAAGGGGAACGTTGAGACAGAAGTGTTTCCCGACACCCGTCCCATTGTCGTCTAACTTCCCTGTTCCTGGGAAGAAGTCTCCTGTATATTTGTGAAACGATACAGTCATGACGCGGTTTGAATGGTAGAAGGCATGTTCGACACCGTCACCATGATGGATGTCAATGTCAATATACAGAACTCGGGGGAAATATCTGACATATAGTTCAAACAAAGTTACAATGGATACGGGATGTGAATATTTACCTGAGGAGTTCTAAGATTGAAAGTACAATGTCGTTAATGTAGCAAAATCCTGAAGCTTCAGCTTTTTTGGCATGATGTAAGCCCCCAGACCAGTTGATAGAGATATCAGTGGTACCAGCACAGAGTTTTCTGGCTGCTGCAAGAGAACTTCCAGCATACATTCGACAAAAGTCGTACATATCTGAGAAAATGGGGCAATCCTCGACACAGTTGAACGTTTCGATGAGGTGCCTCATTTCATTTTGATTCTGAGGAGTGACACTTCATTCGCACTTTAGTCAAATGAGATTAATAATTTGTCACAGGACCCACCGGGAAAGAAAATCGATGTAGTCGTGATCGTGGTAGGCTTCAAGTTCAGCCTGAGTAGCCGACCGCGGATTATAGATGTGGTGTATTTGTTTATCGAGTCCATATCCCAGGACCAATGCGTTTGTTAAGGTTAAACGGTGAGGTTTCATGGGATGGTGTTCCTACGGGAAAACTTAGTATCGAGCGTCCCACGAACATGTTTACACACATACTTACACCATAATGTTGAGCGCCTACTCCTTTTGGGAAGTAATATGACACTATAGGTCGCGAGTGGGGCTATGAAAATGAGCAGGTGAAGTTGTAACAATGCACATATACCTACATTGACGTGCTCAGTGATTGGTTGAGCGTATCCATGTGGACCGCGGTCGTCAAAATAGGACGATGAAGAGAACGTTGCTAAACGTGGACGCTCCATATGTCATAGAGTCGCGGGTAGGTGACTGTTATAAACGTATACTCAGGCCACCAAAGTCGTAGTATCTGGTGTCAGATATGATTGCTCGAGGTGTACGATTCGGTAAAGTAAGAAGAAGGGCAGGCCTGAGCAAAGTAGAGGCTCTTCATTAGCTGTTGATACAAAGACAACCTTTTGTCATTATACGCACAGTTATGATGGTAAATTTCTATTCAGAGTTATTGACTCTAAGTTCTGTTCAGGTTGAGGAGCGTTGGTGGTTCTGAGTTCAAGAATGTACGAACCATGTCCGAAAATGGTCAATTGCATTAGGCGCCTCAAGGGCAATTGCCGATCCGTCTCCTGCCACTGGTAGTCTTTTGTCCTCAATCATATCAGTGAAATCTCCTACCAGTGCTCCGCGAATAAACTCAGCATCGTTGACTTCACTTTCGAAGACATTCGCTTTTTCAAACGGATCTACTATACTTCTCGAGCTCGAAGTGTCTGCATCACGAACAACGTAATATGGGACCTCAAACTTCTGATGGTGTCGATCTTCTGGTGGTCTGCCTCAAGGAGAAAGCTTATGGGAGCTCCATCGCTTGCTCTCTGTCTTGGGAAACACTCCGCCTAACTCAGCCTACTTGTGTGGGTTTTCTTCGAAACTATCGTATAAGGTTCAATACTTATGTCATGCTTGGAATGGGTACTCGATATGATATGTCGTTTGTGTTCTTTGCTGAATTACTGGATTAAGCAGCCTCTTAACAATACTCCCGAGATCTACGGCATGATTTAAAGTTCATGAGAAACCACAAACCTGAAATGACCTGAACTGTCATGCGTGGCCGGTTAGCCGTGGATCGACACCTCATTAGAGCTTCTTCGCCTTGATGTAGTCCAATTCTGTAGACTTATGGGTCATCCAACTACTTCCGTTAAGTCATGGGGTGTATTTATGATATTGATTGGGTCCTATCTAAACCCACCCATATCAGTGTTATCCAGCGTATGTTGCAAGTGTTGTTTCTGTCCCTCATTCCACGCGCCGCTTGTGCAACATCTCTAGCCAACCGATACGACAATGACATTGAATACTACGCTTGTCTTGATCATCCTCGGAATGCTGGCTGTAGTTGCATACCTCTGGTGGCACCGTGACAATGCCAACAATGCACCTCTTCCTCCAGGACCACCCTCCTTACCGTTAGTTGGAAATCTCTTCAATATGCCGAGTAACAATTCCACCTGGGTAGCGTTCGGTACCTTGGCTGAGAAATATGGTACAGAACCCTTATAACGTCACTTTATTATACGTATTCTGACAGTCTTTACTAGGTGACGTTATGCATTTCAAAGTAATGAGCCAACATATCATTATCGTTTCGTCTCTTGAAGCAGCAACAGAGCTGTTTGAGAAACGAGGAATAATTTACTCTGATCGCTTTTTATCCGTGACGATGGGGAAATTGTATGTTTCCATACCCGCTTGGGTCGTCAATCCATCATTAATTATATAGAATGGAAATGGGATGGGCTTTCTCTATGATCAGTTACAACGATGAGTGGAGACGAAAACGAAAGGTATTCCACCAATATTTAGGCTCAAATGTTGCCCAAGAATATGGTGCTCAAGAAGCCGAACATGTCACTGAATATCTAAGGCGATTGCGCGACACACCTGAGAAATTCTTCGATCATTCTCGCTTGTGAGTTTTACTTCATCTTTTGTCTGGAGAAATACTCAAAGATCGGCTGTAGCGTCTTTGCCGCCATTTTAATGGATGTAATCTACGGGCTTAAGATTGCAGATGCAAATAACAAACATGTTGCTGCGGCAGAGGCTTGGGACGAGGGATTCAATCAAGCAATAGAGCCAGGTCGATTCTGGGTCGATTTCCTCCCGTTTCGTGAGTGATGGATGTCACTATAACGTGAAAAGTAACAGCTGACCATTCTGATAGTGCAATATATACCAGAATGGTTTCCGGGAGCGCATTTCAAGAGGCTGTTTGCAGAATGGAAGCGTCATATGTATAAATCCAGAGATGGCCCGTTTGATGAGGCCAAAGAAGCATACGTACGTATTATCTCATGCAAGGTTGATTAAATCTGACTCTTCCATAGACCACCGGATCCGCCATACCTTGTGCTGTAACAAGAGTCCTAGAATATGTTCCTGAGTATGAAGGTTCGGTCGAATACGATCACGAAACCACTGCAAGGGATAGTTTTGGTGTCTCATTCGGGGGTGAGTTGCTATTCCGTCACTACACTTAGTATAATTTGGTATCCACTCATAATGGCTTGGGATTAGCTGGTGTCGACACTGTCAGTCGAATTTTACTAGACTCATTGGAGACAAACTGATAATCAATTATGCTATAGAGCGCTCCCACTATGCATTTCTTCTTCTACTTGATGCTAATGTACCCCGAGATTCAAAAACAGGCTCAGGAAGAACTTCGCAAGATCGTTGGGCCGGACCGACTACCCACTCTCGAAGATCGCGAACGACTGCCGTTCACGGAGTCCATCATGAAGGAGACGTTGCGGCTGCATCCTGCTACTCCACTCGGTATGTTACTGAAAGGTTACCTAACATGCTGTTGACAGTATTTTAGCATTACCCCATTACACGAAAACGGATGATATATATAACGGTTTTTTTATCCCCAAGAACTCCGTCGTGATTGGTGTAAGTCGCCGTTTGGTTCAAATCTTACCTGTATTGAAGTACGCCTTGCCTTTCTAGAATGCTTGGTATGTAACCATACGATACACTGGTTCCAGATTCTTGTTAGATATTCAAATATTGTGTCAGGAAAATCCTGCATGATCCAGCCTTGTATCCTAATCCTCATGCCTTCAATCCTAAACGGTACCTGAATACAGACGGGACAATAAATCCG